CTCCAATGAATTTCTATTCCCACACAGGTTTAGGAGGATGTAGCCATGGACTTCATCATAAGGCTACCTTTATTCCAAACTTATATAGTGATTCTGGTGGTAGTCAATAGATTGTCTAAGGCAACACATTTTGGAATGTTACCAACACACTATATAGCAGTAAATGTGGATGGCTTATTTTCTCGCATGGTTTGTTATGTGCATGGGATGCTTAAAAGCGTCATCTCAGACATAGATCCTATTTTTTTAAGCCATTTTTGCAGGAGCTATTTCGTCTAAGTGGCACTAAATTGAGAATATCTACTGCTTATCACCCTTAAAGCGATGAACAAACAGAGGCGATGAATTGAATTTTACAGCAGTACTTACGAGCTTATGTTTATGATCATCCTAAGTTGTGGGGGTGTTACTTGACTCTAGTCCTGCTACCGGATTGACACTATTTAAGGTGGTTTTTGGTCGAGTTCCTCAATCAATTCCTCATTATGTTTCAGGTTCCGGCAACTTGGAAGCTGTAAATGCTTAATTAGAAGGTAAAGAAGAGGTTTTGGCTTGGTTAAAGCAGAAACTGATGAAGGTACAAAATGCTATGAAGCAATCAACAGATTAAAATCTCCTAGATCTTTCCTTTAAGCTTGGGGAATTGGTTTTGGTCAAGCTCCGACCTTATAGACAACAATCAGTTGCTCAACGTAGCTCTCACAAATTAGCTAAGAAGTCCTATGTGCCTTTCAGAATTATCATATTTATTTGTGCAGTGGCCTTCGAATTGGAGTTACCCAAGAATTCAAGAATACATCCAATGTTTCACTATTCTTTCCTCAAACTATTTCATCCAAATTATGCTGACAAACCTATGTCTTTATTCGCTAACAATTGGCAGAATAAATCGGTCATCCAACCAATGGCTATCTTGGATATTCAAGAGAATGACAATGCTTAGGAGGTGATAGCTTTGATTCAGTGGTAAGGCTTATATCCAGAAGATGCATCTTGGAATATTTGGCTGAAGTGTTGCGTGCATATCCGAATCTACACCTTGAGGATAGGGTCTTTGTAAAAGGGGAAAGAGATAGAATAACAACAAACTGATGAATCTCAAGAAGAAGTAGCTAATGAGGTCCAGGAGCAAGAACATCAGTTAGGGGATAATTATCCAAATCCAAAGACTAGATGGCCCAAAAGAAACAAAGCCCTGCCAATGTGGATGAGAGACTATGTGCTGACTAAGTAGCTAAAAGATGAAAAACTAGGAAAGTTGTTAGTGGAATGATGGTGTGTGTAAGTCTGTTAGGAATATTGATTTGTGGTGTGCCTCGTATGTATTTTTTTATGCTATTATGTTGTGTGTGGTTGGTATTGTATAAAGACACTAGTTTTTTGTTGAATGAAATACAAAAAAATTACACAGTATAACCAGTTGGTTAAGAAGGGACCTCCCCTTTAAGAGAAGTCTAATTTTACTTGTCCTCTTATCTGCTATCATAATCGAAAGCAATTATATTTCTTGTAACTGATCTCTTTATACTACTTATCAAATATTTTATTTCCATATCAAGTATAACTTTCATTGAAAGAGCACATGGTGCTAAAGTTCTTGTTATGTGTAAGGTACATGGAAGAATCAAACTCATTGTGTGAGTCTATATAAACAATCTTATCTTCAATTTGCAAAAGAATAATTTCATGATTCAAAATGGCGACCTCTCGGTCACGTGACTGAAATTATATACTCAAATAAAGGAAATTAAAGTAAATGAAACATGAATCGATCCAATGCATCTAGTATACTTAATATAAAAATTGTAGTTAATGTTACATTAATTTTTTGTATAAAAAACATATTCTTTATAATTGGAAAAAAAAATGTATCACATTCTAAGAGAAAAAAGTTACAACTCTTGTAATTCACCTCATTGTACTATTTATTCAATTATTTTCTTTCTATATGAAACGTAATCTTTTAAAAAAGAGCAACCCAGTGTTATAAAACTTAGGTTATGGTGAAAACATTTAGCTATTTGACCGTTTAGGAATATCTGAATAACTTATTTGCACATTTGATATGCTTTTGGAACTATTTTTTAGTGAGGAGTGATCAATTCTTCTTTAATATTTCTTTTTATTTTTTTAAGAGTTCTACGGATCCTAGGAAACTCATAGGGGTGGATCCGCAAAACTTTAAGGTAGTGTTTGGTTCGGGGCTTCTGGAGATTATCCGAGCAAAGTGCATGTGGGTATCTCATTTCTCCACATTTGGTTGAGGGATAAACTGAAATTTGTCCATCAAAATGGCTTCCCTAGCAATCGACATCCGCGTGTAAAAATTGGAGTTTTGCACTGTTGAAGAAGCCCTTTTGGATGGTGGTATTGTTGTGAATACCGGACAACTCTTTTTTGGGGATGAATAATGTGACAAATTTACCCCCCTTGCAAGCAGAATCTGAGGATGTTTGTCAGCTTCTTAAAAGGAAGCAAACGAGACATCGAAGAAATTGTATATTTATGGAAGCAAACGAGAACAGAGATGTGGCCTTATGTTTATTCACTTTGTGAAATGAGATCTTCATTGGGGGAGCTAAGACAGAAGCAGGACCACTTGGATGGTTACTGTTTTCAACTTGAGGAATGATTTGTGGCAAGCATTGCAGTCAAGGGACCCAATCATGTTTGTGAACAACTTAATAATCTTCGAGTGAATATGCAGACAACCTTTGATTAGTCAGGCACATTTTCTTGATTCAAGTTCTGGGTTGTAATATGGAAGACAGGGACACGAAGGTTGCAATAAAACCAAGGTGTTTTTATAAGGATAATTTTGTAATTTGATTAACTTTTTTGCATCAATATTTTATCTTCAATCAAACACACATTACAGAAATTTCATTCAATTTTCCTGGTAAAATTTTGCCCAACCAAACAACTTTTTTAAACTTTCCTATCTAACTCACTTTCCCTGTAGATCCCTAGTATTTACATTTTCCTAGTATTAAAAAATTTCACCTCAACCAAACAATACCTAAGTGAGTAATAAAAAAATTAATGAGTTCCCAAAAAGGCAAAAAATAGTTGCAAATGCGTATCAAATACGTAAACAAATCATTCAAACAGATCAAATAACCGGAAAACATTTATTGTGTGGGTTTATAATAGTCAACCTTACCTTATATTTGTAAAAGAATAAATAAATAATTCGACCATATATCCTCCAAGTCACATGATGGATATTGTAGACTTAAACAATTTTTTTTTTCCTGAATTGCATGTAGGATATCAAAGACTTGAATAAAGAAAGAAAAAACAATGAGACAAGAATCAATCAAATGACGTTATTAATATTGTAGTTAATGTTAGGTAACTTTAAAAAAAAAAAAGATATTTATTATTTGTTTTTTAAAAAAATAAAAAAATACCACATTGTGCAAGAATTCTTATATATATGTAAAATTATAAGATGTTGATTGAAAAAAGAACAGAAATAAGAGAATATGAAGTGTTTGGATTTTCTTGCATTATTCATACAAGCATTATCCTGTGAGTTCTCTTGAATTTTGATGTTGTGGTTGAATTATGAATTTAATTACTATTTGATTCATATAACACGGATTGCACACGCATACGAAGGATTCAGTTGTGTTTATTGGATGCACATTTTCCCTAACACATTGTTGGGAATAAAGTTACCACAACTCTTGGAAATTGGAATTTATCTCTTTGTGCTATTTATTCAACTATTTTTTCCCCTATATCAAATATAACTTCCTTTTAAAAGAGCATTGGTCTATAATAAAAGTCTTATCTCATGAGCTTGGGTTATGTATTACCTTTCCTGTTCATAAATATATAGGATATTCATACTATTAATTTTCTTTTACTATCACTTTAATTATTATTGAAATAGAAGAAAAATTAAATGAAGAGAAAGAAAAAAAATAACATCTGAATCCAATGTTGATTATAACGATAATAGAAAAACGGAAAAAGTTCGCTAATGCTCCTATAATTTGTTTCAGAATCACTTATATCCTGTGAATATTTTTTTATTACATATGCTCTTGAGGTTTGTAAAAAATAAAAAATTACAAGGGTATATACAATAAAAAAATATACCCTTTTACAAATCACATTGACATGTGATAAAAAAAAACATAGGGACATAAGTGATTTTGACGTAAACTTCAAGAATATTGATGAACTTTTCTCTAGAAAAAATTGATAGTATGAATATCTCTAAAAGTGAATAATAAGATTAAAATTGATATAATTGAACCGCCTGTGTAGCTTATGCTGAAAAAGTGACGATGATTACTTGATTTACGCAGTAAAATCATAGAAGCCTTGTAAGTTTCAAACCATGAAAAAAAAAAGGACAGAAATAAAAGATCTTGCTAAAGTAACCTCAAACTTTTAAGTTCCACTATTATTGGGGAAGCAAAGCATATTCACTTTTATCACATTGATTATCTATCACTGGATTTGGTTCTCATGGCTCTTTGCATCGCACAACCTGCATTTAAAACGCTAGAAGAAACTAAAAGAGGACACGAGACACTTAACATGTAACAGCAAGGAACAAATCAGTTTCCCATAAAAATTGTGTAATGATGTTTGAGTTTTGAAGCATTCTTTTGATGTCTGTTACAAGCTGACGTTGTAATTTTCCAAGTCTATCACTATGCCCCCAAAAGAAAAATAAAAATAAAAAGTAAAGAAAAGAAAAGAAAACTGCCATTAGAAAAAAGCCTCTCAGTATCTCACCTGGGGGAAGCACGTGCTCCGTGATAGACCCTGTCATGTGACCTTCTCTGCTCCTTGTTTCCCTCTCTCTCTCATACACACACACACACTACATTCTCCTCTTTTCACACCTTTTCGGTTTTGGCCTTTTTCATCATTCTCTCTCTTTCTTTTCTGTGTTTCCGCCGCTGCAACAAGCAACAGTTGCAGTGACTCAGTCACTTGCAGCACGGGAAACCCCAACATTTTCGGTTTTAAAACACTGAACCAACACTCTTCTGGTCCTGCTTCTGACCCTTCTCACGTTATATATAGTGGCTCTATAGAATCTAGTGTTGTACTCTTCAACCTTCGTTTCTATGTAGACAACACACTTTATATATATATATATATACATCATATAGACATAACCATATTAATCATATCATAATCATAACCATGGGTTGCTTACACTCCAAAACCACTCATCTCCACTCTCCTGAAGACCCTTCCACCGCCTTACCCGACTCCAAGAAACCCGATCCAGGTTCCCTCTTCACTCTTGACCTTTTCTTTGGTACTTCTCTTATTTTTCATAGCCTTGTAATGAGCAACAACATGCTCTTGTGTTTCCCTTCTGGGATTTTGACCTTGTTTTGGGTTTGAATTTGTGGGGGGAGTGTTCTCCAATGATGTTGAGTAGAACTGTTTTTTTTTTTTTTTTTGGTTGGGTTTATTTGTTTTGCTAGTCCTACGTGGGGATGGTTCTTTTCCTCTTGTTTTATTGTTGGTTTGAAAAAAGTTTGGCTTTTTAGTTTTTGTTTTGATTTGGTGTTTGGTTTTCTGGTTTTGAAGGTAATGGTGGGGATGATGTTGATCAAGAGTGTCAGGCTCCAACATTTAAAGAGTACGGTCTGAATGAACTCCGAAAGGCCACAAATGGGTTCAGCACAGATTGCATTGTCTCTGAGAGTGGTGAGAAAGCTCCCAATATAGTCTACAGAGGGAAGTTTGAGAACAATCGGTTAGTTGCTGTTAAGCGGTTCTCCAAACTGTCCTGGCCTGATGCTCAACAGTTCAGGGTGAGAGGATTAAACTACTCTTTTGTCCTCAATTTGGTTTCTGAATAATTGAAGGAAAAAGGAATAGGAGAATGACAAGTATCTAGAAATACACTATAAATTGATATGGTTTCTCTTGTAGGCCATGTGGATTTTTGGGGTTTGACTGGTAGATATAGTTTTGGATTTCCTTTTAAATAAAATAAAAATGTTTTTCCTTTCATGTATTTTTTCAAATTTCATATAGTATGGGCTGTTCTATGCTTATATTGGGTATTTTATCTAGGAATGCTAGTTTTTGTTTATGGTTTTGATTGGTCAGGCAGAGGCAGCTGGAGTTGGGAAAGTGAGGCACAAAAGACTTGTGAATCTAATTGGTTGTTGTGCTGAAGAAGATGAAAGGCTCTTAGTAGCTGAATACATGCCAAATGATACTTTGTCCAAGCATCTCTTTCATTGTACTGATCGATATCCTCTTATTCAACTTTGTTTGCAGTCATTAAAGCTCTTTAGTTCTAGTATTTTTACCCGCACTTGTCTTTCTCATTATTATCATTTATCATTGGTTTTGGTGGTAAATCCTTGTTGCCTCCATTTCTTAAAAGACAGAGCTGCCTGTCTTAAATTTTTACAATGTTTGTGATTCTGTTGCTGGAGGCATGAAAATCATATAATAAGTAAGAAGTGCTAATAAGCTTTTGCTGAAAAAATGATACATTTGTTTTAGCTGTTGGCCGGATTAAGTTATACGATTCAAGTTTGTAAGGTTATGTTTTGTTGGAGTTAAAACGGATACTTGGAAAATGAGAAAGTGCAGAATGGCAATGCTTTTGAACGCTAAGACATCTAGATATATTGTCAGTTTCCACCTGCCCATATTCACCCGAACCAAGTGTAGCCTAAGTGAAGAAGTTCATTTCTTGTACTAGGTTGACTTTATATTTGGGACTAAGGTATCTCTGTTCTTATCTGGTGTAGTAGTTATCTTAGTTGCAATCTACATTGCTTATTCCTAGCTATCCTCTAGATGCTATAAATTACTAAAAACATTGGACATCATGCTGAATGACCATGCATTCTGGTTTTTGTTTCTTGTTCCGAATTGTATCACCAACTACCTTTTACGTTTATAGTTGAGTATAAAAAAAGATTTTGAATTGTGGAGATAATTAATAGAAGAAGATTATCTGAGACAAAAGAGAATCAAGCACTAGAACATAGGATAATATATCATCCAAAAACAGAAAGGAAAAAAAAGACAAGCTGATTAGTTAAGCAAAGTTGACCAGTATCTCTGCATATCCAACTAAGAAACCCCTCTGAAATAGGCATTAGCTGAACACCATCAAGAGGCAAAGAAGAACTTCATCCCAAAGCAGAGGTAGCATCAAAGAATAATCCGTTAAAATTCTGGTATTCCTCTCGAACTATTAACACTAAATAACTGCATACTTGCAAATCATAGCATGATCTTTTCCTCTTTACTTTTTCCCAAAAACTCTAAATATGTCACAAAATGTATATAGGATTCATTCATTTATCATCTTTATAACTTATATTTCTATCTCCTTATTTCTTAATCCTGTTCTCTTTGAATATAACTTTTACTATTTGTACCTAATAACATCTATTTTACTTGTTAATGCTACTTTGATAATCAGTTTGCTTAATTTTTCACTTGATGAATTCTGTGATTTAATGTCATAGGGGACAAGCAACCATTACCATGGGAAATGCGTGTTAGAGTTGCATACCATGTTGCCCAGGCGCTAGATCATTGTAGCATGGAAAACCGGAAAATATATCATGATCTGAATGCGTATAGGATTCTTTTTGATGAGGTATGATTATGAATCTATCATTATGAACTCAATGTTTGTCATGAAATGTAATCTGTGTAGATGCATTTTTCCTGTTTAGATATATCTGTCCTGTGTTCTTTCTTTTATTCTGCACTTGGTTGTTTGAACTTGATACTTACATTGTCTTCTCCTGATCATTTATTCATTAGTAAATATCTAAATTATGCTTTGAAATTGACTTGTAACTAATTTATTCACTTATGTCAGGATGGTGATCCCCGTTTATCAAGTTTCGGGCTCATGAAAAATAGTAGAGATGGGAAAAGCTACAGTACTAATTTAGCTTATACTCCACCTGAATTTTTGCGAACAGGTATAATACTTGCCAGTTGCCAACATGTGTTTTTCTGGATTACTGACATTGGTTGATGATTTTACTGTATGCTGCTTGTGGAATTCCCAATAGCGATGGTGAACATGGATTACATACATTTGATGACATGGGCTAATTTTGTTCATATATTACTTAATAATATAGCAGAATTTGGAATAGTATTGAGATATTATTATATTAAATAGGAAGTTTTTTTCAATCTGTAATTTTCTCATTTAACATGTTCTTTAGAGTCTAGAAAGAAAAAAATGGTTGTTGGATGCATTGGCTACATTGTTTTGCCTGAGATTCCATTGTTGTGCCAACACTCTTATCAGAAGTCTTACTCAGTATTATTAAAGACAATATGGTACTTAACAACATCTGCAGGCAGGATAATCCCAGAGAGTGTGATCTACAGCTATGGAACTATTCTTCTGGATCTTCTGAGTGGCAAGCATATTCCTCCAAGCCATGTAGGTTGCCATTCTTTCAAAATCTCTTGAAGTTGTTCATATGCTAACAAGAAAGTTTTCTATTTCTTATCAAATTCATTTGGAAACTTTATCCACAGTTTGCGCATTGATGTAATGGTATACTTTATTCTGTATTCTGTTTTCTTAAGCATGCTGAGCATAGTAAATTTTAATACATTTTCTGGATGCCTTTAGTGTTTGATATGAATCGTATAATATGTCAAGAACATGCAAGTATTGCCTGGTTGTGATAGAGTATAAATTTTTTTTGCACCGAACATGCTTGTAAAAAGTTATTATCTCTTTAGACTCTCTTGCATACTGCTGGATATTAAGGTTGCTTTCTAGTTGAATATCACATAGTATAAAAAATGAATGATTCATATAATTATTATCTGTAATCCTTTGACAACTTAATTTGATACAGAGATTCCTATTCATGCTGCATAGTTAAATCACATGATGTTGAATATGCTATATCTAAGGGTATGAAAGTTGTCAGTAACATTGATTTTGTTCTTCAGGCTTTGGATCTAATTAGAGGGAAAAATGCATTGCTGTTGATGGACTCATCCCTAGAAGGGCAATTTTCAAATGATGATGCTACAAAGTTGGTTGAGCTTGCTTCAAAATGTCTTCAGTTTGAGGCCAGAGACCGACCTGATATTAAGTTTCTTCTTACTGCAGTTGCACCTCTTCAAAAACAGAAAGAGGTTTTTAGTTTTTGTTTTAGATTTCAATTTTGACCTTCAATGTGCATTTGCTGTCCTTTTTTCTCCATTCCAATAGTGTTCAACTTCATTTTCCAGTTTTCCCTTTTGGTCGTAAATCCTCTTTCGTCATGGAGAATTTTTTCCCTCTTTATTTTTTGGTCTACAGGTAACATCTCATGTATTAATGGGTCTTACTAAAAACACAGCAGTGCTACCGACCATGCTTTCTCCACTTGGAAAGGCTTGTGCAAGGATGGATTTTACTGCTGTGCATGATATATTGTTAAAAACAGGTTATAAAGATGAAGAAGGTGCAGATAATGAGGTATGTCAAATCACCACTTTTTTGCCTGCAACGCTGGTTAAATCAGTTACTATGGAGAAACCAGTATTCTTATTGGGAGCATTTCGCTTAAGTATGCTGCATATAGCTGATTTTATTGTATCAGCTGGGATGCTTATTCATGGTATCTCATTCATTCACATTTAAGTTGTTCTTCTCTGTTTGGGGTTGGCTCATTGCAAATATATGCCATGGGATTCTAAGTGAGGTGAGTTTTTTGGTTATGTTTTTTATGTCGCATGCTGACTTCCATGACTTAGTTCCTGACATGAATGCATATATAGGCACCAGATTGTAGTTGGATTATTTCTGAACATGCTGCACTGTAGTTGCATTAATGGAAAGCGCACTGTCTCTGCAGTGCATTATTGTGTTGTACTTCTAAGCCACAAATAAGAGTATAAATGTAAAACTGACTGCTAAGCTCTGGTTGTTTTGCCAACTGTTTTTGTGCGTGCTTTTGTCTATTAACTAAGAATGTAATTGCAGCTTTCATTCCAAGAGTGGACACAACAAGTGCAAGACATCTTGAATACAAAAAAGTTTGGGGATATTGCATTTAGAGACAAGGATTTCAAAAATGCAATTGAGTATTATTCTAAGGTAGATACACTGCTTCATTTTTTGTTGGGTTTTGGCTGCTTGGCTGTCTCAATGTGTTTATAATCCTATAAGGGAAGATACGTTTGGGACACCTTTGTAGTATTCTTGCAATGCATTACCAAAGCTGAGAAATGGAGAGAAAAGAAAAAAAAGAGGGAACAAATCTGCAGAGTTTGTTGAACCTCAACAGAAAAAGGAGAAAATTCTCCTTCCTAGATTTCCCCTTGAGTAAAGGGTTTTTCCTTTTACAACAGATTAATGCTCAATTTTCTAATGCTAACAATTCAGAATGACACTCTTTTATCCTCCTCCTGCTATTTAAGCTAAGGCCGAGCCCTGACAACTCTAACCGTATAATTTATTCAATAACTACTTTGTATCTAATTTTATAACTATTTTGTCTTGGGTCCTATCACAATGCTAGGCCTCTATTTCCAATATAATATTTTCTTCAACTTGTTTTTGTACAAGGATCTTATACTTCATTATTCTTGAAGAAAAAACATTGCATTTCTTAGCCCATTTGATCAGAGTACTGAATCTGGACACCATAAGAACATTTTGCAAACAAAACTTGCTTCCAAATATGCTTATACTTGTTTCATCTCAAAAGAAAAAAAATAAAATTATACTTGTTTTATATTGTGTCCAGTGACTGTTGATTATTCGTATTATTTCTATAAAGTTGAACGTAATCTGAATGTCCTTTATTTCTTTGCTTTAAACAGTTGGTGGTTATGATGTCTGTTCCTTCTGCCACTGTCTTTGCAAGGAGAGCCTTCTCCTACTTGATGAATGATCAGGCAGAACTTGCATTAAGGGACGCCATGCAGGCACAGGTATGCATACCTGATTGGCCAACTGCATTCTACCTGCAGGCTCTTGCTCTCTCAAAGCTGGGAATGGAAACTGATGCACAGGACATGCTTAATGATGGGGCTGCCTTTGAAGCAAAGAGGTAATAGTTGGCGTGGTTAAATTTCTAATTTGCAACTCTTTGCTCACTAAACTAGCAGAGTGGCATCAGAAAATATGCTATTTTGCTATCATTTGTACTTGCTAGATTAGGGATGTGTAGGTTGCTAGTTTAGGGGGCAAGAAAAAATAATTATGGTCAAAGATGTTCTCAAGGAATATTACAGTGTAGATCTTCCCATACAAATGAGTCTTGTAGAATGAATTTTCTTCATATGAAAATAAGTTCATTTATGACATCAATAATGCCTTTGGATAGGCCATCTACTTGGTAAAAAGAGGGTGTTCCTTCTCTCTCAATGTTAGAGAATAATATAAACCATTAAAAAGGCCGTCACCCAACACCTTAAGATTTTGGGTTGAAGTAGTTCTTATCAGAGCTTCAGTGACTACAAAGTCACGAGTTCGATCCTCATTTTCCCCCACTTTCTAGTGGAATTAAATATCACGCTTCAAGACCAAAAGGCTCTTTCGTAAGGAGATGTGTTAAAGAAGTTGAAGTGGTTCTTTACACTCAACTCCAATCCCAAGTACACTAAAAAACAAAAAATGTAGATCCTTTGTTCTCAAGGATTTTATCTCTATATAGCACTCGAAAACATGGGTTCTTTTCAAATAGGCCATTGGTGTAACCCCTTGCAGATGTAAAGCTGTTCTGTGCTTGAGCCTTGAGGTTCATAAGAGATGGGCATGAAAATTATTTTAATCTTGGTCAACTTGTGCTAAAGCTGTTTTGTGCCTGAGTTCAATAACTGTTATCAAGTTTGTAACAAAGATGAAAAAGCGTTGATAAGTCAAAGATGCCATTGTTTGACAACAGTTTTTGTTGAAATTTAGATATTGTTATGGCTAATGCCCCAAATTTACTCGGCTATATGATTTTTACGTGTACAAAACTGCACATTCAATTACATCTGGAACGTAGTTGTAACTTGTTAGTGTTCTAATTTTAAACCTTGTTTGGTCAAACCGTCAAAGTCAAACACAACCATGTAGTTTTTATTAGGCTAGTTCTTCTACGATATCATAATTTTTTAATCATTTTTCAAATTTGCTTTGGAAACATTTTTGCATATGAATATAAGTTTATGTCTATATTTATAATCATTGTTTTGACAACGTAATTTATTAGTTTCTTATTTTACTTTTGAAGATAATTGAAAATGTGATTTTTGAAAATTTACTTTTAGTGATAATAAACTCTAAACTTTAGAAGGACCACTAGCTAAATATTAGTTTGATAGAATTGGCTTCATGTTCAAAAAATTTAAACAAAAAATCTTAGATCATAATAATTTAATAATTCAATTATTTCTTAATGAAAAATCATAAAAAATGAAAACATTATAATATTTGAATATATGTATATAATAAGGAGAAAATGTTTGTTATTTTAAATGACATAAAATTATATCATTTTAAGAGAAAGATAGACACAAGAAATTATTTTTTTATTTAAAATTTAAATTAAAAAAAAAATTCACTCACTTTCTGTCCCATGATTTTTATTTCTTGTGTCTATCTTTTTCTTAAAATGACATAATTTATGTCATTTAAACTGACAAACATCAAATTCATATAATAATAATAATAAATAAATAAATAAATAAATTGGTAAAGCAAAAAGTCTGTCTAATAAGAAGAATTTGTTCGTATACCAAAAAAACAGAAAAAAGAATTTGTTCCAATAATAGATGCACTTAAAAGTAATTTTAGCAAGGTAAACCTGTGCAATAACCGTATAAAAATAAATTAATTACTAAAAGAGAGAGTATAAAATCAATTTTTTTCAGGGAAACCTTAAACTTGAGGAGTTGAGGTAATTTCCGAATCTTAATCGCACGCGATTCATTTTTTAAAAGCGTCCGTACTTTTGTTGGAATAGGTCGTACTTCGAAGACGTGTTCTTAAATCTCATAAACCTCAAGGTACGAATACGATGATGTTCCCACACCCGATTTCTTTGTTACGACCCGAAAATTTCGTGTTTCAAACTGTTCGGAATCTAAATTTTTAAGGGATTTGTTTCTTGTCGCAGACAAATTCCGCATATATTGTCGGAGATTTTTATTTTATTTTTTTGTCTTTTTTTTTTCTTGATTGGATTTCGTGTATGCTACCTCTGCGATTAAGGATAAAAAATTCACTCTTTTGGTGATTGATGAGCAACTAATTGCTAAAATCATTTGCATGACGGGAAAATCAATGAGAACTTGAAAGAAAGAAAGATTTGTTGTTGATTTCTTACTTTCAATTTGGGGGTTCTTTAACCGTTGCAGAGATCGATTCCAACCGGTGAGGTTGGTTCGGGTTCGATCATTTTTCCCTCTTATATCATATTTTGAATTTTTTTTTATTTTTGACACAAATGAAATTCGTATAGTTATGCTATTTACCAATTGGATAATCAAGCTTTAATTTCAAGATATGGCTACTTCCTATCTTTTTATTAAGATAAAAATAAAAATGGATGTGCTGCTAGGTATATTAAGAGCAAAAGCTAATTATTGTTCTTGTTCTTTTGTTTAATTGTTTTACATGTCGAGCTGTTTTTGCTGAACCAAACTGAAACATACGATTTTATATTAGGAGTGATAAGTTCAGTTCGGTTAGGAATTTTGTGTACTGCAACGAAATTAATTCTTCACAATCTACCACACACACAGATGTAAGGTCAGCTTGATTCGTGTTTATACTTTGACAGAATCAGTACATCGCAGAGCCCCAGAAACAAAATCATAATGCTTAGTTGAAGAAATTCACAGCCGCAAAATCATATATTCGATCTTCTTCAGTATCATCTTTGGGAGGGATTTAAAGCTTTAATCCCGGGATTCATCCCGAATCAGACTAGTCGCAAAGCGATGAACCGATTGGAATGTATCCAAAAGAAAAAAAAGAAAAAAAAAAGAAATTCACAGCCCTAATGCGGTTTTTGGTTTAAGAAAACTTAGTTTAGATATACAATAGGTGTGAAATGTGGATAAAAAAATAAAAAATTATGTGCTGCTGTAAACTAACTTCAGTAATTCCAGGAGGTTTCTCTGGTATCCTATTTTTTGTGAGGGTACTGGTGGTACCTTATAATAATTAGTTGTTAATATTTGTCCAAGTGTACCACTTATTTGAAATATAAGTACATAAGGTTTTTTTTTTTTTTTTTTGTATTTATATTTATATTTTAGTTAAATGGAACACCAGACTAAATATTGATCACTAATTACCAAAGGTATCAGTATTCTCACAAAAACAAAGGGTACCCAAGGAATCTCACAATAATCCTAAATATCAAAGTATTACAGTGCATGTTTGAATCTGTCCTTGCATGTGTGAATTTGAAGAAGCTGAACTGTTGGACATGATTTAATTGACAGTTCTTTCTTTCTCTCTTATTTTTCTTTCTCTCTCTTGAAAGGTACAAAGGAAGTTAAACCTTATTGGTAGTATTTGGTACATGGACTTTAGAGCCTATTTGATACAAGACATTTGATAATAATGGATACCCTTAAATAGAGAAACAAAATGGACAGGAGTAAAAAGGACATTCATCTTTATGTCCGATACTGAAGGAATGGTAGAAGCAGAATGTGTAGTGGGTCTGTGTAGTTGGATGGGGAAGGTATACTTACTATCATTTTAGGCTTACCACTCTAATTACCTGATTGGTTATCGTTGGATTAATTTGAAATCAATGGTTAAAAAATGGGGAAAATTAATTGTCGTTGATTTCAAATTGATCCAATGATAACCAATCAAGTAGTAAGAGTTGTAAGCGTAAAATGATAGTAAGTATAACCGCCCACTAGTTGGATAAAATTATAGTTCAATTGGTTTTGAAGAGGCATAAATTACTGTTTGGAGATTTCTAATAATGAGGAATAGAAGAAACATGGGAGGTTTTGTGCTGAACCATGTTTGATCTAAAGATTTTTACTTTTTGATATGAATATATGCGTTATTGTGCCTGGTTGAAAGTAATGATTTCTGATTACTGTAACATTCACTAGATCAATTAGGTTAGGAAATTTTTTTTTTGGCTGATATGATGTCCAATATTGAAGGGGTTGACCATACTACTGGAATCATTACACATATTATTGGAATGCTGGATTTACAAAACATGTTGCTCTCTTAATTTTTCCTGCACAGCTAACCCTTTGGGCTTGGGCATCAATGCATACTAATCTTGATTGATTTCTCTTGTCTGCTCATTCTTACAATGTTGATGTTTTAGTTTGCTAACATAATGAATTTCATTTACTCTATGAAGGCATTTATAGACCTGTTTAAGACTTGAATGATCTCAGATAGAATTTTGGGTTTGCTTTGTAGGAAAAAGAAAAAACCATAAAGTTATATGGATAGCAAATCACCGAGTAAGGAGTCAAAGGAGGTGGCACGTGAGTCGCTTATTGCTATCTCTAACTTTTCACCGGATAAGATTCTGGATTCAAATTCTGTGTCCGAGAGCAAGAAATCAGATGGGGTTGCGATGCCAAACTGTGATAGGGATGACAAGTTTAGGTCTGAACTGATTTCAATTTCTTATGCTGAATCCCCCGATGTCAAAATCTGATCAATTTCAATGGAAGTCTAGGCTACAAGTATAATGGTCAAGCAATTCTGTGTAACTCTTGGGTTATTGTGTGGTTGAACTTTCTCTATGCCAATGTTGTGGCTAAATTGGTTATATACTGTATCAGCTATCCTGGAACGCTATGGAAATACTTTCACCGTCCACATGTTTGGGTCATATGTTGTAATGGCTGTTATAACAGTGTTGTCTCAGTACTATGTTATTTCACGTGAGATACTGAAAATAATAGTTCGAAAGTGTAGTACATTTTCATATGTTAATAATGCACAAGGCTTGGCTCGTTTTATGATTATTGAAAGAAGCACTTTTTTTTATGGTTCATATGTATGGCTGTGCTACTTAAGTGATGCATGAGGTGCACCCTAATAGCCCACCGGCTAAAGGACTTGGGCCAGCACGTGATGCACGGATGTGCTACATAGTCTTTTGTGTAACATGGTATTGATAGGTATAACATATGGTTAATTTTCTCTTTAGTTTAGTCTTTCCCTAGCTGAAACAAAAGAAACGAAATATGTGGAGGTGAGAGCAAGTGTTCGAATCTCTCCAGTACCACATTTGGGAGGGGTTTAAAGCCTTAATCCTGGATCCGTCCCGAATCGAATTAGTTGCGAAACAATGAACCGATTGGAATATTTTCAAAAAAAAAAGAAACGAAACATTGAACTCGAACAAAGCATGCTATTTTAACCCAGGCCTTTTTCCTTTACAAGTTCTTGAATAAATTGGTGTAAGAATCATTGATTGATTGATTGATTGAATAGCAGTGTAAGAATGCTAAATCTGTATGCTCAATCTGTGATCATCTTATTCGATCGTTGCTTGTAATGGTTAGGGCTTTATTATTTATTAATAAAATAGGAAACAATGAGATTAAACCAGTAACCAGTCATAAAAGTCTTGGTATCATATAAAAAATCAATTCAAATAAAAAATTTAAGTTCTTAGATGAATATTATATTAATAATTTTATATTATATATTTCTAAGATAGACTTCCGGTTATAGAAGAATTTTCCTAAGTTAAGCAGCAATTGTAATTGCATTGCATCAATTTGTGTTCATTTTGATTACCTTCAGTTTTATGAATATTTTGTGCTAACACAATGCTAGTTTTCAAGGATTGCTTCTGACTAAGCCTTCAAAATCAGAACTGTAATGGACAAGACAATGGTCTAATGCAAGATAAAATAATAAGGAATGAGGAGTGAAAATGAAAATCGCTTCACATGAAGAGGTCGACACATTGAGGAGTCAGTAGCAATAGCAGAGAAGCAGTTGTTTCAAGCACTTAACAGAAACTGTTAATAAGGTAATGAAATCATAAACATATGAAGAATAGTTAGTCCCATTTAACTGCAGAAGCTAATGCACGCTTTAATGGGAAGCATCTTCTTCCTCACAAAATTTTGTGTACTCCTTGGGACCCAACAAGGAATCTAATTCAGATGGATTGCTTGGCTTTATTTTGATCATCCATCCATCCTTATATGGGCTTGTGTTGATCTTAAAATGAGAAAAAGTTCAAAAATAAGTACAAATATGGATAATCTGATAATGAAAACGCAAGACATTAACTGTGTAATTCAATAACAAAATAATAAACCTTTGAACCTCAGGTTGGTCTTGAATTCTTATGTAGTTATGTTATGCGACAAAATCCATATTAAATGAAATAACAAGAACTATCTCTTGTGTGTGCTTGACAAGAAGATGCAGGCAAAGAGTAATGTGGTAGTTGAAAACTTATTTTTTTTTTTTTTAGGAGATATTTCAATCGGTTCATCGCTTCGCGACTAGTTCGATTCAGGACAGTCCCGGAAATAAGGTTTTAAATCTCTCCCAAAGACGGTACTAGGGAAGATCGAATACATGCTCTCACCCCTACCTACTCAGTTCTCTGACGCCAACTAAGCTACCATCATTTGGTAACTTGATTCTATTTTGAACTAGCTCCATATGCTGCCGTTCCCTTTATAGTTGCAAGGAAGATTAAGGTTTGTTTAAACAAAATTTCGGTGTACATTCTGTTCCGGAGGCCCAACCACTAAGCAGCCCAATTGCTCAAGCCCAACCCCTAGCTCCAAGGACCCTCACATCCCCCAACGATGCGACGCATCCAAGGGAAACACCATTATGTCCCACCATGGGACCTCAACCCTCAAAGGCGACCGTCACAGGCACCATAAAGAGAAACTGCCCCTTTGCCCAGTGCTGACATCGCCAGACGCAGAAGGCGCAGCGCTGCCACAACGGCAGCGCCTGCCACGCCTAACGCTGCCACCATGGGGTGAATCCCAAAGAGGGTTGACCCCCTCCTCACCAACCCACACCATTTTCCCTATAAATAGCCCCCTTGGGCACACGAGGAAGGGACATTATGTATCGTCATTCTGCCCATTTACTTTGAGTCATATAATCCTTTAATTATCCATTGTTGATTGCTTGCTTATACTTGGCACAGTACCTCTTAGCCTGGTCTGTACCTGAGCTAAGGGTATTATCCATACAGTGACTCATACCTGAAGGGAACATAGTGAGCTTATAGATTCCAACGGTACACATTCTATAGAAAGGATAACACTGTTTCACATTGAATTAAAATAAAAAAAATATAGAAGGTAAAGCAATAATGCAATATGAATAAAAGTAATTACCAGGCCAGGCGTTTCGGTGAGCTTTGAGTTAACCTCAACAATCTCTCCAGAGATTGGAGAGATAACATCACTGGTTGCTTTCACACTTTCAACTGCTCCAAAGCCACTATCCTTTGACACTTTGCCACCTGTTTCTGGCAGATCCACAAACACCACCTCTCCTAGATGATCCTGCAAGACATCCAGTTTGATAGCTTCAGCCTTAACTCGTTAATGTTACTTAAGTTGCAATTCTAGTTTAACTTAAAAGATACACACATATATATATATATGGATGCACCAGCAACTATTGTTTCTTATTGTCCACTAATTCTGAAGATTAAAAAAAAAAAAACCAAGATTAGCAAATAAGAATGTTTTAGTCAGCAGAATGAAATTAAATGATGTGGTAATGATGGGGAAGAAGGGGGGAACCTGGGCATGATCAGTGATACCAATTGTGGCCACTGAGCCTTCATGCTTCACCCATTCATGTGAAGATGCGTACTTGAGTTCATCCAATACTGGGAATCAAGCAAAGACAGCAATTCAAGTAAGATTAGGCCTCTATTTCCACATTTAATTTGATCAAACCAAACCAATCAAGGGTAAAATAGAAAGTGAACAAATATTATATATATCTATATATATATATATATATATATATATATACATATGTAGAAATACCGGTAGAGAAGCATCTAGAGAGAGCAAAGGCAGTAAGGGAAAGATCAGGTCTAGAAGCACAAGAGATTTTGAGTGCATTGGCAGTTGAAGAAGCCCATATCCTAAGTGCCATTAGGATGTTTCTTGAGATTAGAGCTCTTTTGCTTTCTCTCTTGGTTTGAGGGCAATGTCACCAGAATAAGGAGCTAATTCATATGTTTTCCAAAATTTTATCTTGGATGAATGGTGGGCAGCGAATGCCTCATCCTTACCTTACACCTCCCTGCTTGCTTTTATATTTTCACACTAACATATTAGATTTTAAATTTAATCCATTGTTATATAATCACTCTATTACATCTTACTTATGAAGCACTGACACTTCAAAATCTCTGACGTGTCGTGTCTGACATTTACTGACACTCCAGTACTCATTGAAAAGACTCAAAAAAGATTCAAAAGTTACGTTGCGTTGCATTTTGAGTTTCAACTATTAGATTTGTTCGATTACGATTACTATTTTATTGAATTTAATATAAACATTTGGGATATCTTATGTTTCTTTACAAAATTGATGGGTATTATAAATTTAGCTTTATTTTTTTGTTAAATTATTGAATATTAAATATAATACACACTACATAAATTAAAAATATTATATAATATCAAAACGTGTCCTAACATGTCAAAATTTAATATTTTTTAGAATTAATGTGTCGGAGTGTCGTGTCGTATTCCATATCTCATGTTAGTGTCGGTGCAACATAGATCTAACCTTACAAGATGATGACTTAAACCCTTTGACACTAGAATAATAAATAAAAACCATTTTGTCACTATTCACAACTCAAAATTCCTCCAATCTGAAGGTGCTAGTTCACAAAGTTGAGAATTATGCCGTTTCCATTCTGAACAATTACCTTGAATTTCCCGAATTTGTCTCACTTTGTTAACCAAAAGCCATATCATAATTTTTCTTTAAAAAAAAAAAAAAATATTCCTTCTAAAAGCTTACACAGCTTTTACCCATTTTATTTGTGGAAAAATATTTTCTCATGTTGTAGGAGAGTTGTTTTCTCCTACTAATGACCTATTCGATTTTCATGCAATATTTTCTTTTATTTTTTTATTTTTTAATAGATGTGAACCCCACATAATCATGAAAAAAATTTCTCCTACCGCATAAGAAAATCAAAACCCTTTATTACACATTTTCAACCATTTAACCAATAAAAAAAATAAGGATACGATTGGGCCAAATCAAGTTCAATTCCTCTATTGGGCTTTGTATCTTGTCTGTTTTCTGTGTGAAATAGGCAAGAATATGAATCGGATCGAAGGTTGAGATCGTCCTCAAAAGTATTGGTCCTGCTCGCCCCTCTCGCCTTCTCGTTCCCTCTCCCGTCAAGGTCTCTCTTTTCACTTAATCTTTTCCCTTCAATTCCCAATTTTTCGATTTTTTTTCTAAAAAAAAAAAAGGATTAGCATTTGTCTTAGAATATAAAGTTGTCATTTTAGTGAAAACTACAATACTTTACAGTGAGAGGAATAATTACACAATAAAAAATTATGGTGGGAGAAAGTAAAATGTTTTTTTTTTAATTTAAATATTAAATAAAAAATAATTATTTTAACTAAACTGACTATACTTTAAAAGGTTAATACTTTTTAAAAAAAAAACTCCAATTCCAGCGTTAATGCAATCAAGCACATGAAGATAAAGAGCCATTAGCATGTTGTATCATATTGTATGCACCCAGTGTATTAATATACATATGATAATAAGCACAACATGTTTAAATAATTAAAGGTGATTAAATTCTTCATTTTTCCTTAAGTATTGCAACTCCCGCAATTAAACTCATATGACCAACATCTGCATCATAAACATATTGTCTAGCTGTTCACAGCCTAAGTTATCTCATATATATCATGTCTTTAAATAATGTCCATAATGTTACTTACATAATTACATCAAGATTCAAACCAATAAAAGAGATGTAATTAAGTAAGTAACATAGACCTATACATACAACACTATCAGTATGTATGAACTATCAATGAGGTATAGATATCCCCTGTGCTCTCCAAGAATATCATGACATATACAACTCAAAATAATAACATGTCATGTACATATCAAAATAGCAGTCAAAGTTATGACTATCATGTCAAGTAATATCTCTCCTTCGACCTCTTGTTGTGTGATGCCTCAGCACCATTAGCTACTGTACCTGAAATGATAATCCTCATAAAGGGGGCTGAGATAATCATCTCAGTAAATTAAGGGTCCTTGGAGGGCTCCTCCACCCTTAGGTTCATTTCAAGCATAACCACAGTATAAAAATCATGCATGCATCAGAATATATATGTCATGCAGTGTACAAAAATGAATTATATTGGCCAGAAAATACAACATGTATGCATTACACAAGGTAACTCATCTTGCAACATACTTGTATGAGTAAACATTGTCTCATACTACGCATAAGGTAACTCCTCTTATGCTTCACACACAAGGTAACTCGTTTTATGTGGCACACAACATACATACATATAGATACACCATATAACAAATCATTTTCAATATATCATATCAAAGAACCATTCTCCCTCAGAGTCTAGTGGAACAAACCGGGGATTAACCCCAAGGATCGAAAGCCTACCTGTTAAGCAACGTCCTCCAATATAGTCTGTGTATCCCAGGGATCACAATCTCACCCAATATCACAACATATTTCAAAGATGTGAACATAATTAGTATATAAATTAAGGGTTATATTTATCTCGTTTGACATGAGAGAAATAAATTTTCTACACACACAAAAAATGGTGGGTCCCACCACTCTTTTTCTCTCTCTCCTCTTACTTGCGGATCTCACTTATAATTTTATTTCTACAATATGATGTAACTATTTTCCTACAACATAAAAATTCTCATAAATTAATCTACCACATTCAATTCAACATTATCTTTTATTTATTTGTTTAATCCGTACCTTAACTCATTTCACAAGGACCCATATTAATTTCTTAAAGTTTTCCTATTTTAAGTAATGTCCCACAACTCCTCTGAAGTGGTTCAAGTTCTCATTTGACAAGGGAAATCATTTTCAGCAATTTTGTAGTTGGTAATCGATTACCTACCCAATGGTAATCGATTACTTATTCGTTGGTAATTGATTACCATGCGACAAAATGCAGAAAAACCAGTTTCTCATGGTATCAATGTTGTTCCAAGCCATTCCAAGTCCATTATTCATCAAACACAACCCTTCCAATAACTTATCATGCATTCTAACTCATGGGTATATACTTTAATCTTTTATATATCAAAACCCTAAGTCACACCATTTCCATAAAATCAAATAGAAAGGGTTATGCTTTCTTACCTAGGAGCCTCAACAACCAAGAAGGAAGGAAATTCAAACTTTCAACCAAGAAAAACTCCTCCCTCAAGCTCCAACCAGATTTTTCGCAGCTCCAAAGGGTGGGTTTTCTCGTTCAAATCATTTAAACTCTTGTTGTTTCAAGGATGAGGTGAAGCGAGATGGAAGAGAGTGATGATTTCTTCTTGTTTCAAGAGGGAATGATGGAGCACAATGGCAGGGGAAGAAGAAAGCTCTCCTTCGTTTGAGAGAAAAAGATAGTAGCGGGTGAGGAGAAGAAATGAAAAAAGATGAGTGTGTTTTAGTGTTTTAAATGAGTTGTACTAACCAAGTGAGTATACACTTATCTATCCCACTCACTTAACTCTCTTTCCAGTTTTACACATTAACTTTAAATATTTTTATGATAATATTCACTATTTTACTTTTAGCTTTCAGATAATTTTGTTTACCTATATTTTTACCCCTTAACTATCATTTTTAACTCGTTTTCACAAGGTGACTTTAATTCATCTAATTAGACTTCTCTTCTAATTAATTCTTCATTAGTTATTATTATTCTTTAACCATTCGTAAATTCATCATTTACAGGCTAGGGTTATTATACATATCAAGTTTTGAGTTCTTTCATATATAAGAGCACATGCAGCAAGTTAAAGTTTGAAAAAATAAATGTTTAACCTGTTACATGTGCTCTTATATGTGACACAACTCAAAACTTGAAATGTTAATGGCTCTTTATGCTTGACTGTATTTACAACTCTGGCATTCTAAAGAGCCCGTTAATTTTATTTTTCCCAATAGAAAATGTTCATCCAAAAGCTTCACTTTAACACCCCCCCCCAAGCAATTAGGGATTAATCTTTATATATAGAGTTATGAAGGCCACTGTTTCTTAACTTAATTCATAGTTATTTCATTAGGTAGAGTTATAAAGATATTTAATCTTTTAATTACTTTTTGGTCGGGCATCGGTTGTTCCTAAATCGTGAGGCTGTATGGACCCATGCGAGCTTATATATTTGTGGGTTTCTTATTCTACGAGCCTTTTGGCCCTAGCCCGCAAGTGGGTTTGCCTGTTTTGAAAGCTTTAGTGTACACCTGCACACGATAATAGACTTGAAGATACTTAAGATAATTATTAATTTGTATAAAAAAAATATAATTATTAATTTCATAGGTATTTATTTGTAGCTACGAGGGATTTGAACCCTTGCCTTATCCTCTTTTGAAATTTCATTTTAAGACGCTCTATACAGCATGGCGTATCCCACTATCCTTGTGCATTACAACCTGCTATGCTTTTGGGTTAACCTTCTTTTCCCAACGCTATTGCTTGGTCTGAAGAAAACCTCATTGTCATTGCTTTCGGTCACCTTGTTACCATTCTTGTACTGAATCTTTATCTTCTTTAGTTCCATACAAATTAAATACTTGTTTAATTGAATGAGTGTTTTTTTTCTTCAGAAATCGAACTCTCCTAATGGTCCATGTGGTGTAATTAAAGTCTCCCTAGGTGAGCCTCTTCTAGTTGGGTTCATAGAAAGAAAAGGTATTGCAAGTTTGTAACCTTATGAATTTAAAATCGTAGGTTAGTTATTTCTTAGTGTTTTACTTCAATTGCATTAACGTTAGAAACTTTTATTTTTGATGTGTTAGATTTATGCGTGTTACTAGGGTGCACTAACATGCGTCAATTGCTTTATGAATTATGTCTATTATGTTGCAAAAAAAACGTCAAAATAATCATACTGGATAAAATTTGTGTTTAAGAAATTGCTTTAACAACACATCTAACAACATGAAATGCATGCAAAATATTAAAACATATAACAACACAAAGTTAAAGCATACCAGATGGAAACATGTGAACTCATTGAAATTAAAGGGAAGAATTCAAGTCCAAGGATAATCTTGTTTACTTCGAACGACTTTGCACAATCCAAAGAGTTTTCTGCTCTACTCTTCCTTGTTTTTATATTTTCACATAAACATTAGATTTTAAATTTGATCCATTGTAATTGAAACTAGATTAAGATTAAACTTGTTTGAATAAAAAAATAATCGGAAAAAGCACGCTTCTAAAATTGTTAGGCAAAAGAATTGTCCAGTTAAAGCTAATCGGATAAGATTTTCCAAACTAATACAGTCAAACACCTCATGAAACCTGACGGGACTAGTCCTGTCACTAATTCGGATGGGACTGATGCTATGTCAGCGCCATGTAGGCAGTCTTGTCACCATAAAACTTCAGAAAATCATAACTTTTGATTTGGGTATCCAAATCAGGTTTTTTATTTATTTTACATAACTTTTCGATATATACGCAATGACACCTCAATTATCTCCCATAAACACAATTCAAATTTGCAACAATAGTTCCACAAGAGCGTTTAAGATCATAAGCTCCTGAGTTCTTTCCGAACCAACACCAAGAGCTGCAACACGTGCCATTGATTTCTTGGCCTAGTTTTCCTACGGTTAGCCTCTGAACCAATGATTTTTTCAGCAACAAGATCAGTATTTAGGGCTTTTCGTAAGAAGAAACGTTGTTATCTGTTGTTGCCTGTGTGCGTTGATGGAGAGGAAACCACTGTCATGATTAAAAAAAATTGGGATACATATACCTACTTTCTGACAAGTTGAGTAAGTTTTACATAATGAGTCATCATTCACATAGAAAAAACGTGTTAATTGATGGCACATGTTGCAGCTCATAGTGTTGGTTCGAAAAAAACTCGAAAACTTGAGTTCAAACACTCTTGTGATTGTGGAACTATTGTTGCAAATTCGAACTATGTTTGTAGGAGATAAAATATGTCAAATGAGATGTCATTGCGTAAATCTCGAAAAGTTACGAGAAATAAAAAAAAAAAACCTGATTTGGATACCCGAATCAAAAGTTATGGCCTTCCAAAATTTTACGATGACGGGACTGCTTATGTGATCAGTCCCGTCAGGATTAGTGACGGGACTACTCCCGTCTAGTTTCATGACGTGTTTACCTGCATTAGTTTGGAAAAACTTATTCAATCAGCTTTAACTGAACAATTTTTTTGCCCAACAATTTTAGAAGAGTGCTTTAGCCAAGAATAATCACTCTACATCTAACTTTCAAAAGATGATTGAGTAAACCCTATGAAAATAAAAAAATTTGTCACAATTCACTACTCAAAATTCTTCGAATATGAAGATGCTAGTTGATAAAGATGAGAATTGAGATGGGATGCCTTTTCCATTCCAAACAATTAGTCAATTACCTTGAACTGCACCAATTTGTCTCACTTTGTTGACCCAAAAGCCATATGCTAATTTATTTATTTTTTTCAAAAAAAGGAAAAAATCCCTTCTAAAAGCTTTCACAGTTTTTTTTTTTTTTTTTTTTGTAAATAGCTTTCACAGTTTTTACCCATTTGTATTTTTTACACATTTTCAACCATTTAACCAAAAACAAAAAACTGGGCCAAATCAAGTTCCTCTGTTGGGCTCCTAGAGTCACATTGTTCTGTCTTTTTCTCTCTCGTTGTATCTTGTTTGTGTTGTGTGTAAAATAGACATGGGAGACATTGCAGAAGAACATGAATCGGAGAAGGTTGAGATCGTCCTCAAAACTATTGGTCCTGCACGCCCCTCTCGCCTCCTCGTTCCCTCTACCATCAAGGTTTCTCTTTTCACTTCCCCTTTTCCCTTCAATTCCCAATTTTCAGGGTTTTTTTTTTTAAAAAAAAAAAAAAACCTTCAATTTTGAATTGAAAGTTCTTCCCCATCTCTTTTCTGGGGCATTGGGAAAAGAAAAATTAGACTTCAAGTGTAAGATTGAATACCCTTTCATAGATGACAAAAAAATTCACTTCACAATTATACTTAGGGTTAGTTTCACTTGAACATGGATTGTGGGTTTCAGAAATTGTATCGCATCAGAGTGTGAGAAATTGCGCCATTAGCTTTACAATCCCAGAGTTATTTAGTTGTATGCTAGAAAGCCTCAGCCAAGTGCGTTCAGTTACTAAAAAAGTTTTGGACTTTAGAGTTCATGCTGCTAATTGTTTTACTATAATTCAACAATGTCATGTTTTTCTTAGAACTGTGTTTTTGGGAGGGAGAAATCGAAGAAAGTTTACTTTGGCTGTACCTTTTTGATTATCCTTCCTTTGAATTATTACAGTTTGCTTGCCATTTTTTGTTTCTTCTGAATCAATTTTAGGTGCGTGATTTGAGAAGATTAATTGCCGGGAATGATCATTTACCAATTGACAATTTGAGTCTTATTCTCCGCGGAACTGCATTATGTGATGTGAAAAATGGAGATGACGTATACATACAACTCAATGATGGAGGTAAAGTTCTAGTCTTAATTTTGTTATTTGATGAATTCACTATATTATCTTCTTCTTCTTTTTTTGCTCCTATGACATTCCCACCTTAAAGGTGCAACACTTCCTCTGTTGTGACCTTCTGTACAATGGTCACAGTATTAGCATACATCCTTTCAACTTTGATATTAATTTAATGAGTTTACTTTTCAAAAACACTTTTGTTCCTTTACAATATCAGTATAACCATTGGTTTAAATGGTTCTATCCATAACCTCGTTGCTTGGGCTATTAAAAACAATCGACATACTTGTTTATTATATTGGTCCCTTCTCTTTCTTTTTGGGATAGCAGTATTTTTACTTTGTTTTTTTGTGCATGTGACGGTTAATTTTCTTTCAAGGATGTGATTTATTGCATGTTTATTTATTTTAGATTGCTTGATTGTTGCTGTCAAACCAAAGCCACCAGTGAAGGATGGATATGACAATGATGATGAAGATGAAGATCTGGTAAAATCAATTTATTAACATCTAATGAAGTGACTATTATGTCAATTTGGTACTCGTTGTCATCTTTTCTTGATTTCTACTTCTCCAGAAGTTTCGGCTTCCCCATTCATCAAGTTGGTGGAAGAAGAGGCTATACACTTTTCTACATGATAACTTGAAGCTTCCTGGTAATAAGCTGCATAAATAGTATTCATTTAAAGACTAATAATTTACTACTATTTTGATCCTTGAAAGATGTAGTCATTCACCATTGAATCCATATTGTTAAAATCATCAGACTTTTTTTTTTCTTCTTAATAAAGTGTGTTAGGATTAACTTATTTTGGGGTTACAAAGCTTTTCTTTGCAGCTTTAGGAGACATCATAGAAAAAACGGTTATTGCCATAATGATAAAGAAAAAAACTGTAAACAAATATGCACAAAATCATTTGAATATTCATATTTCAAAAGCTTCAAGCTATATCAATTTCACCCTAAAAGCAACTGCAGTGTTTCTTTCAAAGATACATGTCAACATTATCTGTTTGCATGCAGACAAAATTGATGTAAATTTAACGCTGAAAATACTTCGTAAATGTATGCTCTATTCAAGGAATCATTTTAGATGTGTAGATCCCTTATGGGCAATAACAATATGTTAGTAGACCCCCGTCACTAAGGTGTATGTTAGACAAAATTAAGAGTGAATATAGAAGATTAGGGCCCAAGTCATTATCCGTTAGTGATAGTTAATAAGCTAGGAGCCTCTAACTGAATGGGTTGGAGGGAAAGGAAGGAAAATAACAGAATAAAAGGTAGTGCGAGAGGATTCCAGGAACAAGAGGAGATTAAGAAAGTAGGGAGTGGAGCCAGGATTCTCTAGTCCTGGTCCTGGAATTGAGAGAGAGAGAGAGACAGACTTCTATTGTAATTCTCATTGGAACTCTATCTCTAGGATTCTTATTCAGATCCTGGGGTAAGATATAATAGTAATAAAATTCCAATTCTTTATCTGTTTCTTCATGTTTCTGATTAAGTTCCTATTACAATAATGATAATAATAATAGTACCCTTCGAGATTAATAATCTTCTAAATAGGCTTAACCTGCGTTCACAGATATCCTTTTGATGGTAATTTTCACTCTGAGTCTGAAGGCATGGGTTTTCATAATTATGTGGTTTATGTTGGCACCTGTTGCTCATAGATGGGATCTCGGACCTTTGTATGTATGTCTCCTTTCATCCTTTCCTTTTTGTGGTTTCAAGTCTACTATCTATCTTGCCCACGCATGGCTGGGCTTGGGATACTGGACCATATGATTCAGTGCACCATATGTAATTATTTGTGACCTCTATTAGTCTATTCAAGTCAACTCCGCTAACACTCCGGCCTAGCCATTTGATTTTATCCTGAATCTGATTTTTTTCATTTGGGAAGAACTTTGAAAGAAAGTAGTCCTTTTTTCTTTTTTCTTTTTTCCAAAACAACAATTATGAGCGTATGGCATGTCAAAGGTCTATGGAAAATTTCACTGCTTTCTTGTAAATCATATGGTTAGACATTCATCTGATGTGCTGAGAAACCATGATGGCCCTCGAACCCCGTAAACACGATCTGAGGCTGTAGAAATTAAATTAAGATGTCTTAAAAGTGAATCGTATTATTCTTTCTGGTAATTGTTTACGATTAAATTTCTCGTCTTTTATTGTTTGTACAACTTTCGTGTAGATAATTGCTACTGGCTTTTGTCTCATCATCTTCAATCTTGGAAAACGCCGAGCTGGTGACGTCAGGTATAACCAGATATTAATTGTTGTGTACTCTATAGTTCCACGTGCAGTACAAGGTAGAAGTTAAATCTGAGAGTTCAAATAAGACTGGTGTATGGCAGGGACCTTCATAATTATCAAGAAGAAGCAAAACAAAATGAAGAAAAAAAGTTGGAAGGGAAGAGTAAATATGGTGAATCCTGGACTAAAAATTGGAAATATCCAAGTCACTTGTGTAAAATCTCTGGGCACTGGGGTTTGCCTATTTACATCTATAAAATCTCTACGAACTGCTTATGTTAACCTTTCAGATTGCTCAATCCATGAGAGGGATGTCATAGGCTTAGTATTCCAGTTTTACATCCCGAGTATGGAATTAATACTGTTTATGTATCATATAAAAAATGGGCAGCATATTGACAATTAGGCTATTGATTTATTGTATGTTTCATCTCTTACGTCATTTATATCCATGCTTACAAATTTCATGGTTACATGTCTATTTATATTTATGGGAAGCATTTTGAACCTACCTATGCATGTATTTTTATCAATGGTTAATGATAGTGGAAATTAAATTTACTTGGAAATTGTTGGTAGTTTCTAAATATTTTCTATTCTACAACATATGCAGTGCATATTCTATCTTCAATGAAGACTTCAGAGAGCTTCCGGGGACGCTTAATGCAGATCGGTTTGATAGAGATATAAGAGCAGGACAGTTTTGAGCTCTCGTGCACTCCTTCCTACCACCCAATCACTGATGTCATTGTCATGTCACAGGATGTATATCTGCACAATCACAAGGAGATGTTGACTAGCCAAAGAGTTAACAACTACACACCTTTTTAGCTATGCATTATATAGACCAGCCCTGGTACCGATGAAAATGACAAGTTTTCTGTTTAGTTTTGACCTTCCTTTAACTGGAGGCTCGTTCTGTATATATATAGTACGTTGTATTTATGTGTGAGATGAACATTTCCTTATGGACAACTGTGTCTCTGGTCCCAAAGTTCCTCTGTTTATGAGTTTCAGAGTTTACACTTAGACATGTATGCAGAGGCTTGTCAGGATTCAAAAGTTGACAGCGGTGTTTGAATACTGGGTGTTACACCGCGGAATTATTCTAGCTCTCGAGTTTTCAACTTTTATTATAAATTTTGTAATTTTATTATTATTATTATGTAAGTATTTTTATCAATATGTTATTCTGTGACAGAAAAAATTATTACTATTTGCTAAAAATTACATACTCATTGGACAAAATTACTAATTCAATAATAGAAGATATTAACTGGTAAAAATAAGAGTATACATGGTACTGATTAATTGTTTCTTCCTTCTCTCTAAAATGTCAAGCCATGTAGGACAACATATTTTTTTTTTTTCAATGGCTGTCATTGGATCCGGTGTTTTGGAAGTCTAATTTTCAAAGCTGTATGACATAGCACGATTCATCTTGTGTGCGTTCAAATACCATGGTGGTTTTGTGCAAAAACTTTTGATGTATTTGACACTGCGTTTGTTCAAATATCACCTGTTTATTCCAAAGTTTGTAGAAATTGTCAAATAAAACCTCGTTGCACTGCAAACTCTCAACCAATAGCATTCATTATATAGAAAGACAAATGGGGTTGGGGCAGAAACTGATGGAAGAAATTTTCATATAATATGTAAGGGTTATATTTATCTTATGTTGCATAAGATAAACAAGTTTTTTACACACACTCAAAGTGGACGTGGGTTTTATATCTATTTTTTCTCTCTTCTCTTACATGTGGGTCTCACTTATAGTTTTATTTATATAACATGAGATAATCATTTTCCTTCAACATAAGATAAATATAACTCAATATATAATATTTTTATTATTATTATTATAAGTTTTGAAATAAAATTTAAAGCGTGACAACGATATGATTATGACTAGTAAAAAATATCTCTGGTGCTTGGTACAAAATCGATGACAGATGATATCATAATTGCAACCCAAATCCCTGACGGCACGTAACTTGATATGGGGGTGCGAAGTCAACCATCATGTGAATGTGATAGTTAAGATCAACTAATTAAATGAAATGCACCAGGGTCCAAAGTATTCACCATGCACGTTCACCTACTCAATTCTCGAAACTTCAATGTGCAGCACGTTTGCTTCCGAGACTTGCAACAATAACCCCACTACTTTTACAATTTAAATGGGTTTGGCTACCCTTTTATTTCTGTATCGATTAGTTGGAGTTTCTTAGAAAATAGATCAAATCCGTGTTTGCCGTGTTACCTACCTTGACGAGGGATTATTAAATTAAATCACATTCTGTACGCAGCAACTGATTATTTTAATGCAATCATTCGATTTAATTAATTTGCTGCTTGTGCAATGCTAAACAAATTAATTTATCACCTTATTACCTCATCTTTGACTGTTTTGAGTGTTTCTTACTCCTCCAGATATATAGTTGATATCATAATCGAGTGTTTCCTTCTAATTACATTTGCACATTGTTGAGATATATAGTCCCACATTGATTGGATGGGCAACTAATATGGCCTTTATAAGGCCTTGGGCACTCCCACCCCTTGAGCTAGCTTTTGGGGTAGTGTATCCCACGGTTCTTAACTTGGTAACAGAGCCTCACCGTCCCCCACTTTAAAGTGGAATTAAAAATAAAATAAAAAAGCACAAAAAGGTAAACCGAAAATGGGCCTGTGCAATTTCCACGCTTCTAGCCTAAAGGGCTCTTGCGTGAGGGGGCGTGTTGAGATATATAGTCCCACATTGATTGGATGGACAACTAATATGGCCTTTATAAGGCCTTGAGCACTCCCACCCCTTGAGCTAGCTTTTGGGGTGGTGTATCCCACGGTTCTTAACTAAGATGAAATCTGGTACCAAAAGGTTGCTTTCAATATTCACAAGAGTGCCTTTTAATAGGCAAGGTACACAACAATCAGAAACTAACTAAGTACAGAAAACAAACGTAACAAAGTGTATCCTAACAAACTAGATACTAACAAACTATCAAAGTGAACTATATCTGCAGAATATCTACAACTGCACAACAGCCTAGTATCTATATGGATAACATCATATCTCCAACACTCCCCCTCAAGTTGGAGCATGTAAGAATGAAATGCCCAACTTGGGAAGAAATGCAAGAAATAGAGACTGTCCCAGAGCCTTTGTGAAGATGTTAGCGAGCTGGGAATGTGAACGAACAAACGATGTAGCAATTGTATTGGCTTGAACTTGCTCGCGGACGAAATGACAGTCAAGCTCTATGTGTTTAGTGCGTTCGTGGAAGACTGGATTCGCAGCTATGTGGAGTGCTGCTGTGTTATCGCAAAACAACTCCATGGGATGACTATGGAGTACACCAAGAGAGGCAAGGAATCCTTTTAGCCAAATCAGTTCTGCAGTAGCAGCTGCCATTGCTCTAAACTCGGCTTCAGCGGAAGATCGAGCAACTGTCACTTGTTTCTTTATTTTCCACGACACTGGCGATGTTCCTAACATCACAAAATAACCAGTCACAGACTTGCGTGTGAGTGGACATGAGGCCCAGTCAGAATCGCAATATGCATGGATTTTTAAGTCACAATCAGATTTCAGGAGGAGGCCTTGGCCTGGATTGCGTTTCACATATCGAAGGACTCGCATAACTGCATCGTAGTGAGCCTGCTTTGGTTTCTGCATAAATTGAGAGAGAATATGAATAGCATAGCTTAAATCCGGTCTTGTGATATTGAGATAAATCAGCTTTCCGATCAAACGTCGGTAGCGTTCAGGATTTGCAAAATCTGGTCCATCTGCAAGTCCAAGGTGATGGTTTTGTTCAATTGGGGAGTTGGCTGGTTTGCTGCCACTGAGTCCAGATTCATGTAATATGTCAAGTGCATACTTCCGTTGGCACATAAAGATTCTTGCGTTGCTACGAGCAATTTCGATGCCAAGAAAGTATTTCAAACTGCCTAAATCTTTGATCTTGAAACATCTATTCAAGTATTCCTTCACTTCCTTACACGCTTGAGGATTATTTCCTGCTAGCACTATGTCGTCCACATAAATTAAAAGAGCAAGAAAAACATCACCTCTTTGCAGTGTGAAGAGGGTGTAGTCTGCTCGAGATTGCTGGAACCCGTAGGCTGTGAGTGAAGAGCTCAACTTTGAAAACCAATTTCTAGGTGATTGGCGCAAGCCATATAGAGACTTCTTTAGTCGGCAAACTTGTTGTCGGGATCCATTGTTAAAACCTGGGGGAAACTTCATATATACCTCCTCACTGAGGTCCCCATTAAGGAACGCATTATGAACGTCAAGTTGATGTAGTTCCCACCGTTTGGCTGCTGCGACTGCCAACAATGTTCGCACACTTGTCATTTTTGCTACCGGTGCATATGTTTCACCAAAATCTTCCCCAGCAACTTGATGATTTCCTGCAATAACCAGTCGTGCCTTCTACCGTTCAATGGTCCCATTTGAGTGGTATTTAATTTTGAACACCCATTTGCTAGGTAGAGCTCGCTTCCCTGGAGGTAACTCTGTGATTGCCCAAGTGCCATTATCTTCTAAAGCAGTTATTTCTTTCCTCATAGCGTCAACCCACTGTGGGTTTGTCATGGCTTCTCTGAAATGTCTGGGTTCATGGCCAGATAATTTGTCACTGGTTTGAGGTACATCCACCAATGTCATGAGTTTGCTCACCACTTCAGGGGTTAGGACGGAGAATGCTGCTGTATCTTGTGCTGTCTCCGAAGTTTGCATGGCGCGGGCCTGCTCATAGTTATTCCTTCCTCCGAACCGTCCCCTTCCACGTCCTCGAAATCCACCTCGAATGGGAGGATATTCGATTACTTTCCAGCACTTTGGAGGATCATGGTTTGTCTTCCCACAATGAGGACATGGCACTCTCTCAATTTGTTTATCTGGTACCATGCGCTGCATTGTATTCTCCACGTTGAGTTCTGTTCGCGCTGCATAGCTTACCACACCACCACGCTCTTCTTGATTGCGAGCAATGGAACGATGTGTCTCCTCTTGAGTGACAGTAGCATAGACTTTGTTCATATTTGGAAGTGGTGAATTGTTTAAGATTTGGGAACGTAAATTCCCAAAGACAGCTTCATCTAGCCCCATAAGGAACTGATAGACACGATCATGTTCTCTTTCTTCTTCAATCTCCTTTGCGTAAGCACAGTTAATACCACATGCGCAAGTTTTGCAACTTTTGCTTCCTTCGAGTTCATCCCAAACTGCCCTTAGCTTCGTATAGTATTCCCCAATGCTGCTACCGTGTTGTCTCATGTTGGCTAGACTTGCTTTCAATTGGTATTGGCGTGGAGAATTCTGTATTGCATACCTTTCTTTCAGATCATCCCAAAGATCCTTCACCTCATCAAAACATTTGATGAAAGGTTGGAGTTTTGGATCGATCGTGTTGTGTATCCACCCGTTGATCATAGAATTGCACATCTCCCATGCACGCCATTCTGCCTCACTCTCCTTCTCTGGTTTCTTTACTGAACCAGTCACGAATCCCAATTTATTCTTTGTCTTGAGTGCGTTTTTCATGAGCTTTGCCCAATTTTCATAATTGGCTTCTCCTTGTAGCATAACAATTGTTAGTATGATCCCTGGGCTATCTGAGCTTCCTAGGTAGAAAGGTGAGCCTGGATTTGTTGGTTTCAACCTGTTGCCTCCTTCTTCTGCCATATTTTATTGGGCTAGCTTTCACACTATTTAAAATTCTCACGCTGCGGAAGTGTTTTCACAAAGGATCGCTCTGATACCAAGATGAAATCTGGTACCAAAAGGTTGCTTTCAATATTCACAAGAGTGCCTTTTAATAGGCAAGGTACACAACAATCAGAAACTAACTAAGTACAGAAAACAAACGTAACAAAGTGTATCCTAACAAACTAGATACTAACAAACTATCAAAGTGAACTATATCTGCAGAATATCTACAACTGCACAACAGCCTAGTATCTATATGGATAACATCATATCTCCAACACACATCAATATTCATCTTTATTTTTTATCCACTTAATAGTAAAGTATTTGAATTAACAATATGTATTGATCGGTCAACGGAATAGTGGTAATTAATTACAAGCCCATTAACATATCAATACATCATTTTAATCAAAATTGGTGGCAATTGGTCAAGGTTGTGTCATAT